TGTGTGTGTGTGTGTGTGTGTGTGTGTGTGTGTGTGTGTGTGTGTGTGTGTATGTCTATGTCCCAGTCTACTCTCAAGAAAACCAGTTTTGGTGGTATAGGGCCTCTTCCACCAGCCTTATTTTACCTCAATTACCTCTTCTAAGACCTCATCTCTAAATACATTCCCACTTGGAGGAACTGTGATTAGAACTTCCAGATGTGAATGTGTTGGTGGGAGAGGGCAGTTTCATCCTGTAACACATGAGTCTGGACATGGTGGTGAGGCTACTGCTACTGGTGCCTCTGATATAGACCAAAAAGAACTTTATAATTGTGAAGAGCAGCTCAGCAGGTCCATCTGCTGCAGTGTGGTCTGTACAGCTTACTAGGTCTGAGTTCTTCATCTGTAAAACAGGATCCTTCAAGTTGGAACTCACCCATCATAAAGAGCGTATCAAGTTTCAAAGAGATGTTAAAATCAGTCCACCTCTTACCTCACAGTGTTATCCATAATGAAATATTAATACTGATAATTAATGGCAGATGTTAATAGTGCAGATCCAAATGCTACATCTCATAGTTTAGGTTCCAGTTTCATCTCAGTTGGGATTCAAATTGAGCCACAGCTAAAAATTATTCTGAGGGCTTTAGGAGGGTGTTCTATACATACAGAGAAAATTCTGGGAGGAGCGCATTTTTTGTGTAACCTCTTAAATTCTTTTTATGCTGGTGGCACCAGCAGCAGTGGTGTGGCTATGCCATATCCCCAACAACCCAAGGGAAAGTGTGCTCTTAAATTAATGTCATTTCTACTAACCTGTTTTTTTTTTTAAATATACTTTTCCAATTCCACAATAGGCCAAGCAATCAAGTCCCTCATTGGAGTAGTGTTCAATAATCCTTTTAAACTGGTTTTCAGCTTCAGATAATTCCTTTAATAAAGGTGAGAACAATAATCACTTATGCAAGAAGAAAAATGTTAAAACAGACTTCACCCCAAAGTTGATTCCTTTCGTGTAATATTAAAAAAAAACTGTATATTAAAAAATTCTTATGGAAAAATTATACTATCTGCACTTCATTTTCTTAGAAGTTATACAAATTTCCTGTAGCTAATTAGATGAACATATGGAAACCCAGGAATTCAACAAATCCAGCCTTGCCAAAAATATAAGCCAACTATATAAACGTTTCTTTGTACACACAAAGTGATGGCCTATGCTGGCTAATACTATAAGATGTAAATTCATGATAAAAAACACACAAATACAAATACACACATGCAAACACATTGTAATCTACATCCTATTAAGTACTCTCTCTTAGACAAAAGCTATCTTAAAAATAGCCCCCCCCCCAAAAAAAAAATAGCCCTTTAGAGGCATTCCAAGAATGTCTGAAATAAGGGCTGGACTGTGGTCAACACATGGCTTCCTTAAGGGTCTATGCTGATGAAAATCTTTTAAATGCATAAATTCTACCATATTAATAGTTTTTTTAAAAAAATTTGTCTATTTTACAGTAAATCATGAGTATAACAAACTATTTCTTCAATTCCAATAAGGGAAAGCATGAAATTTATTATTCTGTCAAGATAGAATTAAAATCATGAAGTCCTGTTTCCATTGATATATTATAAAACAGAATTAGACAGGCATTAATAGAAGGCATTCCATCTGTCACATCAAGAACAAGAAAAATGAACCTCAGGCACTGTAGATTCTCAGAAGTGAGTAAAACATGAACGACAAGTTTGATCTTAACTAGGTAGCAATTTAGAGTTAAACTTTCATTTTATCAGGGAAGTTTAGCATCCAAGTTGGCAGAAAGGATATGTTATAATACTTGAAATCATTCTAGAGAACCTCAAACAAGGTTATAACACTGAATAGCACAGGTAAGTAAGTATCCCAGGAAAGTAAAAGAAGAGCTTGAGTAATGGGGACCACTAGAGCTCACACCTACATGCAGACCATATGCTATTACCTGAATCCTCCACTTAAGAATTAACCAAACACCAAACTACTCATTACCCAGAACTAAGAGCTATTAAGCATGGTCATGTTTACTTCAGTTTTCTAATAAAACAGCATAACACAAAGTTGAGATCTCCTTTCTAACTTCCTCAGGCTCATTCCCTCTTTTATCAATAAATGTTGTCATTATCTTAAATATGATAAACGAGTAGTCCATGTTTTTTTTCAGTTTTACAAAATGCAGAGATATCCATACACAATATTTAGTATTGTTCTATACGAAATTATACACTAGTGTTATCACAATGTTTGTATTCTCCAACCTGCTCTTTTCCTTCAACTTTATGTTTTTGCAATTTGCCTTCCATGATATATTAAATTCTTTATTTTTTATGTAAGTAAGATGTAGAATCCCAGTACAAAAAAAAAAAGAAAAAAAGCACAAACTATTTAAATTTAGCTATTTCAGCCTTTCAAGAAAGTACACAGAAGGAAATGAGCCAAAATGAAAAAACAGTTTTTATATATCTTACAAAACCAATATCCTATTTTAAATGTTTGTTCTCTGTGTTACAGTCTTACCTCAGGCTGTCCTATTCCAAGCAGAGAAATGGCAAGTCCATATATTACTAATACATAGTTAATCATGGCCAGGTTCAATTGCTGTCAATAAAAAGGCTTTAGTTAAAAATCTAAACATAAATCTGCCAGTTTACATCACATTAACCTTCTAGCCACAACAGTGTAATAACATCACTAAACAGTGTAATAACATCATTCATCAGTATGATTGAATTAAAGATCAAATAGAATTGGAAAATGTATTTTGCAAATACAAAACTGTTATATTCATATCAAGTATTTAAAACACAAAATCAGTGCTGGGGTTGTGGCTCAGCGGTAGAGTGCTTGCCTAGCATGAGCGAGGCCCTGGGTTCCATCCTCAGCACCACATAAAATATATAAATAAAATAAAGGTATTGTGTCCAACTACAACTAAAAAAATATTTAAAAAAAAATAAAACACAGAATCGATGTGTCAGTTGTTTAAGGCATAGTTCATAATAAATTAGAATAATTTTTAATTAAAATCATGTGCTTTTGCATGTGAGTGTTAGTAACAGATTAAGTAAGATATCTGCTTTTTCACAATCTTGCTTAAGCTACTCATTTATCTAGTTAATTCCTTCTTGCTGGATAAAAAAAAATGCAACCTAAAAGTGAGTCCAAATTCTTGATTTATTAAAAGTCTCCTTTTCATAAAAGGAAAGGCCAGAAGGTCCTGATAACCCAAACAATGGTCAAAAAGAGAACATAAGCATGGATCATACATTGAATGTAATCACAAACTCTGAATTGGGATCATCACCTGTGCCCCACAACCTGGAGGAGATTCACCTGCTCCCAGTCCAGGTATAAGATATATAAATTCGAGTTAAAGCCTTGATTTTTTCTAAATTCATCTGAGGTGCACTGGTATTGATAAAAAAAGCTATGATTTGGCAATTTTACCTTTATTTTTTGAGGATCTAAACCATTTAGCAACTCTGTAAAGGCCTGCGCAGCACTTCAGCAACGCTGCTCCAATAAGGCTGTGTAACCATCTTGAATTAAGCTTCTTAGCATTTTCATTATATTAGCAAAATCCTGCAAAAAGAAAAAAAAATATTTCACTAGTGCAAATCTACAGCTTTTTAATTTTAAACTTACCATGTTAAGTTCACATTAACACTTTATAAATGATAATAAGTATTTAAATAAATACTCAAACTATGCTTCATACATCATATTCCTTTCTCAGCACAGCACTGCCTCATTATCTTCATTCCTCTGCCACTGCCCATGAAAGGAAAGTTTGATTCATTTTATTCTATACAGTGCAAAGGTTTGCTTACTTTTTCAGTCTATACCAATAATATTTTGGAGTTTTAACAAAGTAAGAAGAATACCAAACATCACTAAATAAGTAAATTGTCTGGGACTACAACAATTAGACACATAAGAACACACGACCTATGTACCCAAACAATCAGATTTTAACAACTGTCATCCTGTGCTGAAACAAACATTAATTTTAAGCAAGAAATACATATTTCAATCGTTAACTACTCCTACTTTACATGTACTTAAATATAACCAGAAAAAAATTATTGACAGAGTACAATATTAAATAAAGGGAAAAACATAAAAAATAAAAACAAAATTGACATAATATACTCAAATAAAGCGATAAACTCTTTGCAAATTGAAAACATATGTACACAAACATTATAATGTGAATTCAGATTTTAGTTACATGGCAATAGCCTTAAGTTACAAAAGTTCCACAAAGATGACAGAGGTAAGACATTAAGATAAAGTCTAGTCATCCTTGTTATACATGTGTACACCATTCAGAGAACAGAAAATACTAATCTAAACAATATACTCCTCACTATTCCTAACAATAAAGACTCAAAAGGTAAACTGTACAGTTTAGTCACAGATTAACAAAAGATTCCTGACAGTTTCTAGCCAATGAACCAAAATATAGGACAACTTTCCCCCAAAATATGATGGAAAAGAACAATTCTCATATTAACCTGGTTATCCACTATAGTATTTAAAACACACATGATAGCCACATTTGTTTTAATATGTGAATTTGAGATTACAGACCATGAAGTGCTGTCCTGTCAATCACTAGTTATTCAACTTTTTAAAAAATATTTTTTAAAAATATTTTTAGTTGTCAATGGATCTTTATTTTATTTTTTATATGTGGTGCTGAGAATTGAACCTAGTGCCTCACACATGATAGGCAAGCACTCTTCCATTGAGCTTCCACCCCAGCCCAAATATGCTGTTTTAATCTCCTTTCTTATTCTAGGAACAGATCCACATAGCCTTGGAAATTATTTCCCTTAACATAATTAACATAGGATATCTGTACTGTAAGTTTCATCAGAGCAGGTTGGACAGTGTCAATGCAGACTCCCTCTGTCTGTAACATCTGGGAGGGGCCCAATAAAAATGTATTGAAAAAACAATGGGTTCACAAACAACTATCATAAATAATCTTTTTACCTTCACAGGCTTTTTTAAAAGTCCTTCAGGGTTTTTAGAGTCAGTAAAAATATAAAAACATATAATTAAAAAATCTCCAACTGTTAACAAATTCTAAAACTGCTTTTATTCAAATAATTAGAAATCTGTTTCAGTCCTTTGTAAGATGTTATATAGACCTAAATAATTAATTGAATTTTAAATGACCCATAAATTTTGAAGCAATTATCCTATTCCATGATATAAATTTTCATCACTAAATAACATAAAAAGAATTTACCAAGTTTATTGTTAAAGTAGGCATAATGAAACTGCATATGTTTAAATCTTTTTAAATTATCCAAATCTTTGAAAAATATTTAAAGTTAGTATTACTATTAAATCTTTGGCAAGAAATTCTACAGTTCTAACCACTGGTTAAATCTCTGGGTAACAATTTTTGAATTAGTATTTAAATTAATGATAGTCCAGTTTCTTAGCAAGCATACATTAATTCATGACCAGAGCTTTGCTATTTCTCCTGGAAAAGCTTTTTCCATTACCTGGTGTGCAGCTCTGGAAGATTTAGAAAACTGTTTCTCCAAGATGTTTTTCAAATCAACTGGTAAAGTCAACTGTGAACTAGAACTAAAAGAGAAAAGCATGTTTTAAATCATCTTAAAATAAAACAGTCCTGTTTATATAAAGAAAAATACGGAGTAAATGGACAGTCACATGTGAGTTCCTAAATAGAAATAATACTAAGACACTGATTTCCCCAAATTACTCTCTAAATCCAATGTAATTTAAATAAAAAGTCCCTATAAAACTAGAGGAAAAAAAATACCTGAATTTCTCTGATTCATTATTTCGGGATTTTTGTTTTCCTTTATGTTTTGGAGGCTGACCTGTGAATACAAAAGCATTTGTTCCTGAGATCCATACATAAAAATCCACAAGCCTGAGAGCAAAACAATAAAAACATATGTAAATTGGAATAAGAAAGCCAAAGAAGCAATACTATATGAGAGCATAATTACAAACAGGTAAGCCACAAAGGAAGGCAGGCACTGATGATGGTATTCTATGTATGATGTAAAATTATTACAAAGTTAAATTATAATGGTGATAATAGTTATTTAGATTTGCAGCAGATACAGAGAGATATAGGCAAAGGCTCCTATTCTCAGGCATTTTACAATCATATGGAAAGAAAGGACACATCGTTTTAGTAATGAAGATAAGAAAAGACTATGCCATTATTGACACATTAATTCCACAGCCAGTAACTTCTCTCCTAACCACAGAAGGAAGAAATCACCCACCTAAGGCAGAGTGGTTGGGGAAAGGGTTGGTGAGGATGCAGCCTTTCTTTGGTCTTAAGATGACCTGTGCTGTACATCATTACATCCAATTCTCTGGATAGGATCTGGTCTGAGTCCACAGGCCCTGAGTTTAATCCTGAGCACCACAAATAAATAAATAAATAAATAAATAAATAAATAAATAAATAAATAAATAAATAAAATGTTTCATTTACAAC